TGTTTGTAAAAGTTGATTCATAGCAATGTCAAAACATGCATATGATGTTTTACTCAAATTACTATATATATATATATATATATATATATATATATATATATATAATATTATATATATATATATATATATATATATATATATATATATTTTTTTTTTTTTTTTTTTTTTTAAGGGTCAGGATAGACACCATTGGCATTACATTTTTAGAAGAAACATTTAACATACAGTATATACAGATGCTCAACTTGGTATAGTTTTGTGAGTTTTGAAGTGTCTTCTTGATAGAATTTCATTGAGGAAGAGTGTACTCTAATCATAAAAGGCAATAGTGGAAAAAAGTCATTAAAAAAAGCCATACAGCATGCTGCCTTTTCTTACTCCAGCAGGCCAATGTGCAGTTTTTTGACCTCCTACTCTGATTGGCACACTCTTTTTAATAATCCTTAATGAGCTGGTTCCTTTCCCTTCTATGTCCAAAATAAAATGCATTACTAACCGATTGCTTGTTTTATAGCAATTTTTTAATGTATTTATTTCACAAAGATTGCAAAACTGACTAAGTTAAAAACTTGAAATATGTCCTGATGGCTCAAGAGAGGTTTTAAATCAAAAAAAAAATGAATCATTATTTTATGAGAAGTGCTTATTGTAAGGAATATATGTTTCAACTGAACCATCTCATGCAATTTCTCAACTCATCCACTTTAAATTATTGCCCATAGTTCATGTAACAGGATGGTGGAAAATACTTCTATCTTTCCCTTCCCCATCCATTACCTTTTTGGAGTTACATTTTAAACTGATGATAAAAAGGATCCACGTTGAGGAGCATCCTTTCAATGTATGTAGAAACTCCCTGAATACGAACTCATTAGCAATAAAAGAACTGAATTGAAAAAGCTTGATAAAAACAAAGTTGACAAAAAAGTGTCTTCTTGTTGATAGACACGCCATACCAGTGGTCCCATTCACCTAATGAGTGGGAATGAAATAAGCATTCTTGAATCGGGGTCAGAGCTGGGCCCCTGGAGCCATGGGCCTGCTAATGATTGTTACCTCTTCTTCCCCTGTTGCTATGCTACCTGCCACCTCCTGTCTTATTTTAAATTGGTCTGTTGACTGGCTTTTTATTTATCATTACAGTTTTCTAGACCAGTTAGTTCACTAACTGAACACATGCTTATCTCTGTTGTTGAGTTTACATAGAAATTGCTTTCCCAGCTGCTAAAAAGATAACACATAATATTTCACCTGTCTGTGCTATCTCATGTGGAAACTGTTTGTATTATGTCTATACAGTTATTTTTTAACTGCTTGTAAAATGTGTTGGTGTAAGTGACAAATGCATACTGATTATAAGATGTAGTTTTTTTTATAACACGGCTCCCTTTGTGTAGTGTTAAAATTAGATTCAAAAAATGTTGGTGTAATTTAAACAGTTGTTACAATTCAAATAGAAGAACCTTTTAATGCAGGTGTTTTATCCAGAATTATGTTTATTTAGCATTCTTAACATATATTTTTTTTTTTAAATATGCTGACCTTTTGTTTAGCTCTTGCACTGGATTACTGATTAGGAAAATTATTTCTGCACTTACCCTTGAATATATTCTAAAGCAAAAAAATTATTTTATAATTTTATAAATGTAGAAACAAAAAAGATAAAATTAAAAGCACAGACTTTTATATTTTCCCCTTTAGAATTAACAGAAAAAAAACTGCCTGTACAAGTAAGGGGTGTTTATAGATAAAATCAAACTGCACAGCTCTGACTAAAGTTAAAAATTGCCCATGCACAGGTGTAGGCCATATACAGTACATACCTCCTGAAGCCTGACTGACTGACTGAAGTTGATTGTTTCAGTGTTTTCTAAAGTGTAAGACTATTACATTCAGCAGCACCCATTTTTATTACAACTGTCTTATGAGAAAACATGCCTATAGTATTGCTGCAACTAGCTGCCGACTCTTCACTTCGCCTATCAAAATACTGTTTCATTTACATCTGATGTTTTGTCCGTTACATCATTCTCCATATTTAAGCCTTGATGAAGGGGCATTCTTAAGGCAACAGAAAATACAATGGTACCATTCTTTGTACTAAATTATATTGGGAAAAAATATATACCTGGACAATTAATTCCTGATGTGGCATTTTCATCCAAGATCCATTTTCAGTTAGGCGGTCTTGTAGTAGCATCTAGAAAGAAGCATAATCATTTTTACTTTTTAACAGAATCAGGCTGGTTTACTAAAGAAATTTAGAATATTCACATGGTAAACTGTGTGAATATTCAATTTATTTATTAAATCAAATGCAGATAAAATAAACAAGGATTTTCTTTTCACATACCTGGATAATGATGTGAATCTTCACACACAATTTATTTTGTGAACATTCTCAACTCCTGTAATATACCAGTCCTTAAGTATCTGCTTGGTATTCGGAAATTTTGGGGCTGGGAGTAAAGTTGATTCATACCTATAATCCATGGTAAAGCAGGAAGGAATGGCAGAGTGGAAGTTCTTGACTTTGTCAGTACAGTTGAATACTGTAGAATGGAAGAAGAATGGCATATTTCAAGAGTACACATGATTCTCAAGTGATAAAAAGTTCATATTTAATGATAAGCAAAATTTAAGCAAATTTGCTTCATCTGCAGTTTGGTAGTGTGGAAATGAATTTCACTTTGCAGGTCAGATATTTACAATTCACCAAACATGCTGTGAATTAGTAGAGGGGTTTTGGATCATTCAGTAACAGAGTAACAGTGCCTATGCGAAGTCTGATAACATGGAGATATTCGCATATATGAAAAACAGAATTTCAAGGGGTTGATGCTTTTATTAAGTCTCAGAGGGGTGTCTCTCACTATCCATGTGATGTAAAGTAATTGTTTTTAATAAGGTACAAAAATCCCTTATTCAATTTAATATAACAGTGAATCATAGTAGTATATATTATTATTTTAATGGCATTATAGAGAGTAACATACCTGTGCTCTCAAGGGTCCACAGGATTCCATCAGTTGACAAAGCAGATCAATTTGTATCTGTATCTCCAAATCACAATAGTAACAAATTTCAACAAATCTCAAATAAATTAATTTGTATTCATTTGCTTCATTCATTTGCAGCTTCAGGAGGTTTTGTAAGTTCAATAACATTGTCACACTCTGATGTTTTGCTTGACTTTGGCCAATCATACCAATACAAAGTTACAAGCAAGTCACCAAAATAACATAAGGAATGAATCCATATTTTCTGAAATAACGTCCGGAAATAAAAATCATTTTGGAACAATATATGAAATTCTGAAAACAAATCATTCTAACTTAAGGAATATGTCAAAAAGATATTGACTCATGAATGAATTCAAAACCAAACAAAGTCTTTCAGCGTGCACATCTCTAACCTACAGTAAATGTTGTCTTGCTGCAAATCCATGTTTGAACTAATTTACTATAGTAAATAGGTATTTTAGGAGTAATTAAAATGTGTTAAATTTAAATACTTAAAATATTTTATTGGTTCAGCTCATAATTAATATTCTATTATGCAATTTGTGGATTTTATATGAATAATTTACATTTGATCCTATAACACTTTTTTCTCTCCTTTCTTAGGATCAGAGACAAGCTCAGATGTCCCAGTATCGGCAGATCATTCATTAATTATGAGGTCTCTGGTACATATGTCTGATGTTGCAAGGGCAGGAATAATGTCTCCAAGTCAACTGACCACCATCAACCAGTCCCAGCTCAGTGCCCAGTTAGGACTAAATATTGGTGGAACTACCATTCCTCATACTTCACCATCTCCACCAGCCAGTAAGTCTGCAACACCATCTCCTTCCAGCTCCATCAATGAAGAGGATGCAGATGATACAACTAGGGTGTGTATTAGAAAACACATTTTAATCCAAAATGTCATTGTGAACTATTTACTGTTATGTTAAAGCCAAACTCCTGCAATCATGTATTTTGTTTTAGACAGAACGTGTCATAGAAAGCTTAAAGCCTCTGTCAGTTTTTTGTCCCTATTCTGAGATTGTACCTCCCTTTTTGTCATGATATGAAATTATGAGAAATCTCTAAAACTAGGCCACAAGCAAAAACAAAAAACATTTTTTTGGAGAGTGGGAAGGATCAGAGTTCCTGACAATGCATTTAGTGCTGTTCACTCCTTCCTGTCTTGGTGACAAATGCTCTGTCATTTATTGTCCTGGTATCACAGGAACGCAAGTGAGGAAATATCTCCCCATGGAGTTACAGATAGTAATAAACATCTGATAATAATTTTAACTCTTCCCCACTCTAATGAAAACTAAAAAGTTTTTAGAGATGCTTGCTTCACATTGGTATTCACATGTATAGCACACTTGGACTGCAAAGGTGCAGAGAACCACAAAAAAAATATATAGGTAGGCAACTTTGGTCCCTGCTATAATCAGAAAATTTTCATTTGTTTACAGCAGTGGGAACTATGGAAAACAATGTAGGCTACCATTACTGATCTCATTTCTGAAAATACTTGTTTGTGTGTGTGTATGTATATATGTGAATTATGATATATATATATATATATATATATATATATATATATATATATATATATATTTGTATTCTTCAAAAAATGTAATAATTTGTAGGTTTGATAGGAGCTGATAAAATAAGCTCTGCATATATTGTTTAATTATTCGATAATATACATAACTGATCCTGAAGGACGAAATTCTATTTTAATCCCTTTTTTACATTTCTATACAATTATTATATCATTATAGACAACAATTCCACACTGTAAGAAATAATTTAGGAAACATAATGGGGTTTGAGAAAATGATGCACATAAAATGTAACAGTGCAAATATGAAGATAAGTCCAATGATTTTTTTTTCTTTCTAAAATCTAACTTTTAGACTATTGGAGAAAAAAGAGCTGCCCCTGATTCTGGAAAGAAACCCAAAACACCAAAGAAGAAGAAAAAGAAAGATCCCAATGAACCCCAGAAGCCAGTGTCTGCTTATGCTCTATTTTTTAGGGATACCCAAGCGGCAATCAAAGGTCAAAACCCCAATGCTACTTTTGGTGAAGTGTCGAAAATTTGTGGCTTCTATGTGGGATGGTCTTGGTGAAGAGCAAAAACAGGTATATTGAAATATAAATGAATAAAAGAACCCCTGCGCTTAGATGACCCTAATAATAAGCTGCTAGCACCTACTATGTACCAGTGTCACATAAATTAAAAAACTATAAAATGGTGCAGCGCTATTAATAAATACCATATGGAGCAAATAACCACAGGTGAATGAACCCCCTTAAGTGACAGCATAAATCAATCACTGGTGTCAAGATGCAATTGACACGCACTTAACAGGTGACTACGGGGTGATAAAGTCCAATATGAGCACACAGGTGAGGAACTCTTCACACGTGAATGTGTCATACGTGCCACAGGAATCCCAAAACAATCTGAGTGCCCCCTCACCTCCTTGAAATGACCTCAAGGGCCAACCAGCTTTCCAATGATAGTCAGGCAATCTCCTGTTGATCCCTTCAGTCTGACTGGAATAATGGTAACTTTCACCAGACCTCTTCCACCGCTCTACCGACACCACTATCTTCCACTCAGAGACATAACCAAAACAGGCTCCATAGTGCAATATGTCCAATTTATTAAGATAAAAACATAAATACCCACTTACATGTAGGCAAACGATCATGCACAGTACTCGGCAGTCCTCCTGACATGCGGCTTCATGGAGTCCCAATATGGCGCGGACGCCGGAAGTGACGTCACCGCGTCCCGGAATAAACAATGAACGTACCAACGCGTTACGTCACGAATAACACGTGACTTCATCAGGGTCCTGATGAAGTCACGTGTTATTCGTGACGTAACGCGTTGGTACGTTCATTGTTTATTCCGGGACGCGGTGACGTCACTTCCGGCGTCCGCGCCATATTGGGACTCCATGAAGCCGCATGTCAGGAGGACTGCCGAGTACTGTGCATGATCGTTTGCCTACATGTAAGTGGGTATTTATGTTTTTATCTTAATAAATTGGACATATTGCACTATGGAGCCTGTTTTGGTTATGTCTCTGAGTGGAAGATAGTGGTGTCGGTAGAGCGGTGGAAGAGGTCTGGTGAAAGTTACCATTATTCCAGTCAGACTGAAGGGATCAACAGGAGATTGCCTGACTATCATTGGAAAGCTGGTTGGCCCTTGAGGTCATTTCAAGGAGGTGAGGGGGCACTCAGATTGTTTTGGGATTCCTGTGGCACGTATGACACATTCACGTGTGAAGAGTTCCTCACCTGTGTGCTCATATTGGACTTTATCACCCCGTAGTCACCTGTTAAGTGCGTGTCAATTGCATCTTGACACCAGTGATTGATTTATGCTGTCACTTAAGGGGGTTCATTCACCTGTGGTTATTTGCTCCATATGGTATTTATTAATAGCGCTGCACCATTTTATAGTTTTTTATATTGAAATATAAATGTTAATATTATAAATAATAAAATAAAATGTAGCTCTTGTAATCAAGAATAGTAGAACTCTTCCTTTAAAGTGACAGAGCTTGAAGACTGATTGACACTTATCATATAACTGTCTTGTAACCTTTGTAATTCCTATGCAGGTAGATGTTATCAGAAGTCTCAACAAAACAACAAGCCAATTAGATTATTCTTTCAACCTATGCAGAGAAAAAGTACTTGTTGAATAACTAGCAGTTCATTGTACAGACAAAATATAAAAAGACGTTAAGGTAGAAAAGCAAAAATGCAAAAATACTGTATATGATGTAGTTGGTCAACAAATCAGTCTTAATTTTCTTCCCCCCAATAAAATTTATGTATAAGATTTACAACATTGTAATTTTGTTGGGTAATCTACTGAATTTCCATTCCATTTAATAGGGTGACAGTTTGCTCTGAATGTTGTCACCCTGTGGACATGATAGTCTTGGAAAGAAAGTGTAGACTTGCATAAACTACAGGTAAGCAACAAATAATTTAAAGCCCAACACCAGCTAATATTTTTTGGTGGACGTTTTTTTTTTTTTGCGGAAAAATGTTTAAATAATATGAATAAAGTCCGTATAAATTCACAGTTCATAGTTTCATATTTAATCTGGTTGAAACAAGACACAAGTCAATCTAGTTCAACAGAGGAATAAAAAGGACACTCACAAACAGAAAACCTCCATATTCATTATCCTATAGCCAAAGTCTATCCAGAGGAAGGCAAAAAATCCCCCAATAAAGCATGATCCAATTTGTTCCAGCAGGGAAACAATTCTTTCCTGATCCCCCAAGAGGCAATTGGATATTCCCTGGGTCAACTTTACCTATAAATATTAGTATCCAATTATATTATGTGTTTCTAGGAAAGAATCCAGGCCTTTTTTTTAAACAATCTACTGAGCTGGCCAGAACCAGCTCTTGAAGTCTATTCCACACATTTCACAGCTCTTAATGTGAAGAAACCTTTCCATATTTGGAAAGTAAATAATTTTTCATCAAAACGTAAAGAGTGACCACTTGACTTCTGTGATGACCTTAAGGTGAATAACTCACATAGAGTTCACTATATGGACCACTTATGTATGTATACATGTTGATTATGACCCTCAGTTCAGCTTATTTTTCCTCATAGCGAAGTCACCCCATGTCTCTTATCAGTTTGGTTACGCTTCTCTGCACTTTCTCCAGCTCTTCAGTATCCTTTAAGTGAACTGATCCCGAAAACTGAACATTGTATACCAGATGAGGCATTACTCATGATTTGTACAGAGGCAAAATGGTTTCTCCCTCTTTTCATTCCATACCTCTTTTAATACAAATAATTTTTCTCATTTTGGAAGCCACAGCTTGGCATTGCATGCTATTATTAAGCTTATGATCTACCAGAACATCCAGCTCCTTCTCCTCTATTGATTCCCCCAGCTGTACTCCCTCTAGTATTCTGTTTACACTACAGCATCCTGCAAGATGAATGGAATGAAACATAACTCAGCATATGAAAAAAACAGTGCAGGCTGTATTTTTTGCAGTACACAGCAACACATTTTGTAATGCAGGTATATTGAGGAGGTGCACTCGTGTGGCTTTGAAAATGATTGACACTGCAGTGTAACAAGGCACATAAGGTGCATTACTGCCCACTGAGGACAAATGCACAATTTACTCCCCACGACTGCAATATGGATTCATGAAGGGACCCTAATAGTTCAGTTTTGCTATTATTACAAGTATTAGCCTCAGTTACCAGAATACTGTATTTTCACTATATTGAGCCTTTAAAAACACTGTGATCTAGTCTCCTATATACTGTACACACACATACACACACACTCACATTTTATATGCCATTTGTGAGCAGGCAATGATGTATAATCATATATACAATGTGAAACCAATTCATCTTAAATAATAACCAAATATAATTAATACATTTTCGAACATGTAAGTAATCTCTTCCTCCCTAGGAAGTTAAAACATACAGTTCTTTCTCAGCGTCCAAACAATACAAGTTCTCAATTCACACCCATGAGTGATCTTTCTTTACTTCCTAGCTCGTTGAATGTTCAATCTTCAAGTATCATCCTCTTCTTCCTCAAAAAATGTGCAAAATCCACATATAGTGTAATACGCTTTTGTATAAAATAAACCCTAATAAATAAAGTGCTCACATTAGGTGCTCAAAGCCATGTCCCAAATAGCAAGTGTCAACCTGTAATATCTGCAATTTATACCCTTACCCTCTGGGTATGTCTTGTACGCCTTGTTTTCAAATCTTTTCAATCCGTGCACTCTTCTTTTTACATTCTTCTTCAACAATATTCGTGCCCTCCAAAAAATTATTGTATATAGTGTAATACTGTTAACCAATAATTATCTAGTGCCACACTGTGCTCCTTATCTTCCCAATAAACTGATCACCTGTATAAGACACAGTCAAGTGATCCACCACCTCTCAATCCATGCACCTTACCAGACTATAAACAAGAAGCCTTGGACAAATCTATTTCTTCCCAATCATCTTTCTTGTTACTCCCTCCACAATGTCTGTTTATGGCTCAAAACAACATAGACAAACATAGCGCAGTAAAATCAAAACTTGCGGATTTATTCAATTAAAAAGCGTTTACAAGCATGGGATGTACATCAGCATTTTATATATTGTCTCTATGGAATGAACCTCATCCAAGATGGCTGCCACACAACTTCCGGTTGGCATCTGACGTCACGCCTGACGCACGTCATTTTAATCGGTTTTATCAAAGAATGAGTCGCAATGACGAAACGCATCAGTAAGTGACGTCAGACACCAACCGGAAGTTGTGTGTCAGCCATCTTCAATGAGGTCCATTCCATAGATGCAACATATCAAAAGCTGATGTACATCCCATGCTTGTAAGTGCTTTTTAATTGAATAAATCAGCATTTTTGATTTTACTGCACTATGTTTGCCTATTTTGTTTGGCGCCATATATCGACATTGTGGTGGGAGTAACAAGAAAGATGTTGGTTGGGAAGGAATAGACTTGTCCAAAGTTTCTTGTTTATATACTCTGGTAAGGTGCTCATGGATTGAGAGGTGGTGGATCACTTGATTGTGTCTTATACCGGTGGTCACTTATTGGGAAGATAAGGAGCACAGTGTGGCACTATATAATTATTGGTTAACTGTAGTACACTATATACAATAATTTTTTTGGAGGACATGACTATTGAAGAGGAATGTAAGAAGAAGAGTGCACGGATTTAAAAGATTTGTAAGCAAGGTGTAAAAGACATACCCAGAGGGTAAGGATATGAATTGCAGATATCGCAGGTTGACACTTGGTGGTGTTTGTGACATGGTTTTGAGCACCTATTGTGAGCACTTTATTTATTAGGGTTGATTTTATACAAAAGGATTTTGCACATTTTTTTGAGGAAGAAGAGGAGGATACTTTTTGGAGTTCTTGAAAATTGAACATTCAACTAGCAAGGAAGTAAAGAAAGATCACTCATGGGTGTGAATTGAGGACTTGTATTGTTTGGACGCTGAGAAAACTGTATGATTTATAATCATAGGTTTGCAAACCGCTCATATACAAGCTCAAAGCATGCCCTCTGTTTCTATAAACTTTCTTCCAAAG